TTTTTTTACCGTTCATTTGGATCTGCATAAAAGAAGACGTCTGCAGACGTTTTCATTAACGAGATTAATTTCAGTAATTAACCTAGCTTGTTTATGGTCAACGTGAACGTTAATTTATCACAGCTAACAAAACAGGATATAAATTAACTACATTTTAATAATGACATGAAAAGTCCGATTGTTTTACCTTTTGTCTCACTTACTCGAACTGTGTAGAAATTAAAAATTAAACATATCATCCTGTAACTGCTGCTAGCATTAGCACTGTAGCTAGCATAGGTAATTTCTGTTGCGTTTGTTTCAACCGACCTCGTCAAGATCCACGTAGGGTCCAGCTCCTTCAGGAAACATTTCATCCACCGCAGGTTTCATCTTTTGGTGTAAGTAAAAAAAAGCAGTGCTTTGAATTGCTCGGTTTAGCTGGCAGCGAGGCTTGCAATCCAAGGGACGATGGTAAACAAAACAAGGCTGTGCCACACCTAGTTGGTTCCGACTGAAACTTGAATCGTCACATTTATTCCACTACCAGGAGATTCAATTCTTCTGTTCAAATATCTTTACTTTACAATTGAAAGCTCTGTCAGTTACTTTAATTGTTTTTAGTCCTAAAATAACAAAATAAGACAATACAAATACCATCATTCATTGTGATTAATGGCACTTATCCGTTGGTATTATTTAGAAGGTAGTTGCTTTATTCATTCAACTGCCTTGGTCTTATAATTCTAAATATATTTGTACAAACATTTATTTATAATAAATGGTTTATAATAAATAAAATTAACCACACCTTTAGAGATAAAGTTTTATTTTAATTCATTTTCTTTTGATTAAAAGTATTCATATATATAAAGAGTGATGCTGATGACACTAATATATTTTGGTGCAAAGTTTCTAAACTGTTGAAGGTGAAATTCCTGTGCTTTTAATAAGTTGTATTCTCCAACTGTCTATGCTCCGCTTTTCTACTCTCTAATCAAAAAGATAATAAACATTTGAAGGATAGCATGTTGACCTTAAATATTAATCTTGACAGTGTTGTTTTATTACATAATAAAATGCATTTCATCATCACCGTCATTTGTCATTTGCCCCCATTAATGCTAAGCAGAACCTAATCTCTTTGACAGAGAAAAAAAAAGTGCATAAATGAATGAATTCTTTAGAAACTTTACCTAGAAGCAAATTTCTTATTTATTTTGCACGCAGTAGATGGATATATTCTCTAATACAAGCAACAGGGCTACACTCGTCTGTATCTATGGCTATGCTTGAAACTAAAGAAAGTTTAAAGATGATAAAATATGTGTTCTCTTTTTACTTCTACATCAGTATAGTTTGATCCCCTTTGCCAACAATGCCTGGCTCCATTCTCAGTGTTCATGTCCTGCATTGGTCTCATATCCCAGGGTGTCTCCAAGGGGCTGGTGGGCGAAGAAAGCCCGAGCCATTTCGTTGATGTGGTTGTAGGCCCCGATAGACCTGAAGTATTCAACGTAGTTCCAGAAGTCTGAGGTGGAGTAGGGCCAGTAGGGAACAGCAGGGGGTTCATCGTATGGAACTGAGGGGGACACAGAAGAACGGAAAATTATGTTAAGCTAAAAATCTTTTTATGACCATTGTTTGTCTGGTGAAGAAGGCTCAACAAAGGCTCCTCCTCCTCTTCTTCTTCGAAGCTTCTTCCCAAGAACTGTCAAAATGTGGCAACCCCTCTGCCACAGCACAACAGGAGGTATCGCAGAGTTTTTTTTCACAGATAAATCTCTAAAATAAGCAAATTAAATTCAGATTTTTTTTTGTTGTGCATAGAAATATACATACACTTTTATGTAAGCAGAAATAAAACCTAAACATAAAGAAGCAGTGTGTGCATGCATTTGTGTGTGTGCAATCTCAACTTTTCTAATACATAAAGATTAATCCACACAGAAATGAATATTTTAGAAAATGAAGATATGTAGTTTAATTGAAATCCTACCTCCTTCTGGGATGAATCTGGCCACTGTGGGGTAGAGACAGAGAGAAAAAGGGAAAAGATTCAACATTCCTAAACATTCCACAGTTTTCCATGAACAAAGAAGGGATTCAGTCCTGTAAAACGAAAGGGGGGCTCTTTCTCAGAGGACTGCAGGAATACCTGGTTCCTCAGTAAATATTTTCCCCCGGGCTGAGCACACATGGAGCATGATTGAATTCATACAGACCTCTCTTTCTATTCACAACTAAAACGTATTAATCATATTCAAATCACATGCATTCAATTTAGTAAATAAACTGGAGCTAAAAAACTTTGTTTTATTTAATCTTCATTTAACAGTCATTTAACATTAAAATAAAGTAACTCACCACTTAATTGAAAGGCAACGAGGCAGAGGAGCCCACTGATCCACAACAGCTTCATCCTGCCTCTTAATTAGACAGAAAAAAAAACTTTTTTGGCCTGAAAAGCATTTAGTTTAGGGTGAATGCAAATATCTTTACCTGCTCAGAGTTCTGTGACGGTTCTCAAAGGAAGGCTGCAGCTGGTCTGCTGTGGTGTGAGGAGGCTAGGAGGGGAACAAGCAGCCTAATTCCAGCACACACACATTCACACACAGCCCAACCAGCCTGTCCCATTCACATCCCAGTGACATAGCTTCAAATCCATCCTCAAGGGGCTGCTTCCACCCTGCAGGGCCTACAGAGCAGCTCTTAGAGAAAATTCATGGACTGCTCGGTTGGTGTCAAGGCAAATATTTGATTTGCTCAAAAATAAACCCAAGACTACTCACTTTTGGATCCACATATTACACATTTACAGATTCTTCACACCCACTAGTATAGGACCTATTGTAAATAAAACCCTCATATATAAAAATATACTCTCTTTCATATAAACTAGGGTTTTTCCTGACCTCAAACACAAAACAATTAGCTGTTTGACTGTCTAACCATGACTGATTTATTTCCAGAAAGTATAAAAACACAAAGCACTAATGTTACAGACCAGTGGAAATATTTATTTAAATAAAATCAGGGTGTAACATTATCAATAACCCCTTTACACCCCCACCATGGACTGTTCTCCCTGCTGCCCTCTGGGAAGAGGCTTCACTGCATCCGCTGCAGGTCCAGCTGGTTCTGCAACAGCTTTTTCCCCCTGCTTCAGGCTGTTGAACTGTTAAACTGAACTGCATTACAGACGCAACAATATTTTGCACCACCAACGTGGCTGAAACTTTTATAATCATTTTAAATAGGACACAACTCAGCATCATACTGAATTTTGCACCATATTTATTTTGCACTGAACAGAACCTTTCCATATTAATGCCCTTTTGCACCATTATTTTTAAATTAGTTTCTTTCTTTTCCTATACTGTTTACACGATGATCACTGCTGCACTTTAAATGAGAATGTTCATTCCACTGTTAAAAGCTGTAAGCAACATCACTGTGTTTTCTATACACTCAGTCTATACAAAATGGCAATAAAGTTTGTCTAAGTCTAAGTTTACAAGTGCGAAGCCAAGAACAGAAGCATCGCTTTACAACGAAAATATTTAGGTCACATGTGCCTGCATGTTGTAAAAATACAATAATACTGAGTTATTTTCTTTTTAACCTGTCCAACGATACTTTGTTCAAGCTCTTTATACACTAACCTTCACTCATTTTAGAATATTTAACAGCTTTTTAAAATCTTTGATCTTTGTTGACATGTTTAATAATCATCTTCCTAAAAAAAAAATAAAAAAAAAATGTTGATTTGTAATTTAATTATCTTTATCTGCTGCTACTCACACGATATTCTCTAGTGATGTAATGAGGAATGGCTTCATAAACATTTCAGCCTGTTACCTCAAAACTAACCCCCTGAAAATGCATATGATTACTTAACTCTATATTTTTTCATAAATTGTTCAATTAATTAACTTTGGAGTTGTTCATAAATTAAAAAGGAATCCGTGTTTGTGTTCAGGACTAAATCCGGGGACAAGAGGTCTTATTAAGTTTCACATCTTCATGCCTCCTTTCAGACATAAACACTAAATCATACATATAACGTAACCACATATAGCAATATTTATAAAAAAAATCTTTGCATGTGTTAAATTAGTAATTATCAATAAAGTTGGTGAAATATTCTTTCACACTTTTATTTTTAAAGTGACATTTGATTATCAAATATTTTAAATGTTTTTGTAAATACTGAATATGACATTTAATTATCTAATGTTATATTTT